ATATCAAAAAAAAAAAAAAATCTCTACCATCAAAGTTAAGAAAACGAAATTTTCAAAGTGATGATGAAGTTTAATCGAAAAAATTGAATGAATATTTCCAATAAAATGAAGGATTTGTCATTTTTAAATGTAAAAATTAAATATGCATTTGGAAAAGTAACAACGAATGAAAAAAGGAAACAAATGCAAAAAGATTTTCTTTTGTAAAATGATGTGGAAGTGTAGAAATGTTCTTTTCATTTTCTTTTGAAATACTGAAAACAAATGAAAAAAGTTTCATAGATAAAGATAGTACAGAGAAAGAGAGAGAATGTACCCATTACTATTGACCAATTAGGATCTGAGGGTAATGCATAAATCAATGAGCAAAGAAAGATGATCCATAAATGGGCTTCATTAAAAGCATCTTATTTAAAAACAATATACAGATGGACACCCCAACCGCCGAACATCCCATGGGTAGCGTAAATGAGACAGGGGAAACACTGATAGTAATGAGGATACTTTAGATTCTTTGAATTAAGAAATGGAAAAGCTCAAAACAAAAGTAGCAACATGAATTTCTGTTCTCCCCGAATTTAAAAGAAACCTGAAAGGTAAAAATCACAATGATGTAAAACAAGAAAAAAGAAAGTGCTGATTAAATAAAGAGTAATAAAGATTAGAGAAAAGCAAAAGGAGAGAGATCTCATCTTCTGAGGTGAGTTCAACCTCTAAGTTTAATTCTCGAGGAGGTTCCTTTTGATCCCTTGAAAGGGGGATAGAATGTCTAAACTTAAAAAAACGAAATATCATAAAAAAGACAGAAAAAATAAAGGACAGAAGGATGGAAAGCATCTTCTTCGGAGTCTCCAAAGACCTTCCTTTTCCTTGTGAAAGAAAGAAAAGATCATTGGCATGAACCTCCTTCGAAATTTCTTTTTCTTCTGGGCCCTCTTTATTCTTCTTCTGGCCTGTACGAATATCTTATGTTGCTGTTCCAGCAATAGAAAGATCTTCTCCCATAAAAGAAAGCAAAGAAACAAAAAAAAAAGAAAATCTGGAAGTAAAAAAAAAGAAAGTCCCAAAGTTCAAAGAAAGTTCTTTGAAAAAACCGGATAAACCTCTTCAAAAAATGAAGGAAAGCACCATAAAAGTCTGCTTTATTAAAAGACGGTTCTGGCCTTGGATTTATTTCGCAAGAAATACAAAATTAGAATAAGAGAACATATAGGAGGAAAGAAGGGGGAAAAGAAGCGAATGAAAATGAATAAAGAAAGATTAAAAATGACATGTAAAAAAGGAAGATAAATGGTTGGTAATAATGGTGAAGATTTTTGAACGTTTCTTTACACTGATACTTATACTGATGGTGATGATTTTTATTCAAGGTAAAAACAGTAAATACAGGCGTCGGAGCCAATCTTCTGAACACAAGAACAAAAACATAAGCAATATCTATATATATATATATATATATATATATATATATATATATATATATATATAAAATTTTTTTGTATTTAGGCAGCAATCTTCCTTTCATGCACATTTCATTGAATACGACAGACAAAGGTCCGGACCACTTTTTATTTATTTTTTTACAATTTTTACAATTTCTCATGCGATGTTAATGATTTAACGGCTTTTTCGAATGATAAATTATATAAAACTGTCCGAATGTTCTTTTTTTATCCGAGCGCTTTCTGTGGCTATACATTTAGCCATTTTCATATATATATATATATATATATATATATATATATATATATATATATTTCATTGATCACGAGAGACAAGGTGCTTTTTAGGATAGCCTTTTTTTATACAATTTCTCATGCGATCTAATAATTTTTTTTTTCGGATGATAAATTATATAAAACACTGGTCCGAAATCGTATATAATTCTTTTATCCGTTTTTTTAAACGCTTTCTGGGCTGGGTCCACCCACATTTAGCTGACATTTTCATATATATATCCATAATACATGTATATATATATATATGTGTTCCTTCTTTTCCTTTGGTATATATAGCAACGGCGGTATATATATATATATATATATATTTATATATATACGGTTTTCATTGATCTGACGTGGTTGAGGGTTGACAAGGTGCAGGGTTTTTAGGTTTTGATACAATTTTCATGCGATCTAATAATTTTTCTTTTCGGGATGATAAATTATATAAAAACTGTCCGAATGCTCTACCCACGCTTTTTATCCAGGGATCGGGGCGATACTTTCGGCTATACATTTAGTAACCATTTTCAAGGTTACCAAAACAAAATATTTTTGGAAGTGTTAAATAGGAAAAAAAATAGTTTGTTCTATTTATGTTTTATCGATCAAATGTTGTTTTCATTTTTTCTGTTTAAAACACGGTCAAGATATTGTGTCCCTGTTCAAAGTCTTAATATTATTGAACTGTTCACGTTCTTTTGCAATCTTCTTTTTTATTAATAAAGTTCTTCTTCCATTAGTTTTCAGTTTTTTTTTGCATGTAGATGATGCTATTATATTAGTGTTGTCAGTGCGCAAGTATCTTGACTATGTTTTGAAAAGGAAAACAAATTCTATCCGGAAAACATACATACGACAAACTATTTCGTATTAATTTGATTTAACGTTATTGTTAAAATACAGTGCTCTTGGGGGCGGCGCTTATTTCTCTCCTTGAAGATAGCTAAATGTATCGAGCCTCGTCCAACAGTTATTGATCGAGGTTTTCTTTCCTTCTTCTTCGGTCGGATTGTATTCGACCAAAACCGAAACATTCTGGACAGCACCTTTTTACGCAAATATCTTTAGCTTTCTTTTTAATTTCAAACATCATTGGAAAAGGTTCTTTTCCGCCTTCTGGCGCCCTCTGTGGTCCAAAAAAAATCTTCTTTTTTATCTTCTTTGTTTTACCTGATAGTCGAAAATCTGTAATTATCTAGGTCGGAATATTATCTTAACGTGGGTGAGAAAGGTCAATCTCTAAATTGTATCAGCCCAAAGATTGTTCAAAAACTAGAAAACTCCAAATTGAAGGGTTTTCGAAAAGTCAGGGCCTTGTCTCGATATCATGTTCAAATGCGTCATACATTTCTCTTTCATTTTCGTTTTCTTTTCTTTCTTCTTTCCTTAGGATCGTCTATACATTCATTTAGTGAATTATTTTCAACTCAGTTATTTTCCGTTTTAAAAAAATTAACAACCTGTTTAATAAACTGAAGAAAAATATATATATATATATATATATATATATATATATATATATATATATATATATGAGAGAGAAAGGAGAAAAACAATTACCTAACAATAGAGAGACAAACAGAAGATTTAAAGGGTGACGCTTAAAGGGGTAATGACAGAATTTGAAATTTTGAAGGAGCAAGAAATATGCAGAAATTACAAATATAAACTATGTAGATAAATATTTCAGAGAACAATCAAGCAAGAATTAAAAAAAGTGCGGAGTTATGAAGGAAAACATAAAGAAAGGAGAAAATAAATGGAAAATTAAGAAAGGGTGACGGACAGTGAACAAAATGAAGGACGAAAACGAGACAAAGAAAGAAAAATAGAAAAAGAGGGAGGAAAAGAAGAAAAGAAGAAAAGCAACAAATAAAAAAAGATGAAATAGAAATTGAAAAGAGAAAAAAAAAAAGAAAAAAGAAAGACCGGATAAAGAAAATAGAAAGAAAAAAGATTTAAAAACAATATAAAGAAAAGAAAGGGGAGATGAGGATGAAAAAAAGGTTGGATTAAAAAAGGATAAAAAAAGTAACGTTTTTTACACTGATACTTATACTGATTAGATGAAATTTAAAAAAAATTGAAAGAACAAAAAACAAATATATATAAAAAGAAAATTAAAGGGAAGAAATTTTGAAAGTTAAAAAACGAAAGAAAGAAAAAAAACAAACAAGAAAATGCGGAAGAACAAGTGGGAGGGGAAAGACAATAAAAAAAAGAAAGGGTGGAAAATAAATAAAGAAAGAACGGGAAAATGAGAAAAAAAAAGAAAGAAAGAAAATATAACAAAGACGAAAAGTGATAGTGACAGAAAGAAGTGAACATAAACTAGAAAAAAAGAAGTAACATTTCAGAAATATCAGGTAAAATATCGGAAATAAATCGAATTAAAAGGAAAAAATAATACAGTATCATATTTTAAAAGTGGATAAAGAGGTAAAAAAAGATGGATGGTGTGCAGAAAAATATGAAAATTACAAAAAAGTATTTTGGAATTGCAAAAGTGGAAAACGAAAAAAAAACATTTCCTCACTGACAGCTGTGTGAAAAATGTGAAAATATCAAATACATTAAGTGTTGCGTTGAGCTTGACCATTAACTGAATGCCTGCTTGACGTCTGAAATCTATTTCGTTCTGGAAGGCATTAATACTTTGATAATGGAACTACCATGTACTAGTTTTAATCCATTCACGAATTTCTCTAGCAGCTCGAAGGAAGAACCCACCATATTCATCATCACTTGTTATCCTCTAATCTAGTTTATAGGTGAATTAATAGCATCGAGGGAAAACCCATACACTGTCCGTCTGCCGATCTGTTAATTTATTTATTTTGGCTTTCTTTTTTTTAACTTTTCATTTCAAGCAGCTTTCTCTTTACTTCTTACATTTTTTACATGCCATCTTTTTTGTTTGTAATTCATTTTTATTTCGTTGATTTATTCCTCAAATATTCTTTGCTGTCTACCTGACAATTTTTAAGACGATTGACAGACATTCTTTTCTTTTTCCTCGATTCCATCATTTCTTTTTTTTTTATTTTTGTTTTATTTTCTTATAAAGTCTGAAAAAAAAAAAGAGAGAAAACGTAGAAACAAAAATGTTTAATTTCTTTGTTTTCATTTCTTTTCTTGGTTCATTTCTTTCGGTTTGTTTTCAATTTGCTTCCATTATTTTTGTGTTTCGTTTTATTTGTGTTTTTCTTTCGTCATTTCTTTTCCATCATTCATATTTTTTTTTCTTAATTTGTTTTATTCATTTTCGCTTTTACAATGTTTACATTTTCTTTCTTTCTTTTCCAGCTCCCTTCGTTAGTTTCTTGCTTTCCATTCATCTCTCTTTCTTTGTTTTTAGTTCTTTTCGCTAGTTCATTTCTTTTTCTTTGCATTTTCTCTCTTTCTTTTCACTTTTCTTTCTCTTTCTTTCTTTCTTTCTTTCTTTCTTTCTTTCACCACTCTTTCTTTCTTGTTAGCTCTTTTCGTTAGTTCATTTCTTACTTTCTTATTTTCTCTCTTTATTTTCATATTTCTTTCTTTCATTCAGTCTTTCCGACTTTCTTTCTTTTCATCGCGCTTTTTCTTTTCTTTATATTTTTCTTTCTTTCTTCCTTTAGTTGTTTTTACCTCTTTTTTCTTTCTTTTTATATTTTTCTTTCTTTCTTTCTTTCTTTCTTTCTTTCTTTTATTTCATAACTCTTTGTTCTTTCTCATTATATTTTTCTTTCTTTCTTTTCATTTTTCTTTTTCTTTCTCTTTATGCGCTTCAATCTTTCTTCTTTTCATCTCTTTTCTTTCTCTTTATATTTTTCTTTTTTTCATCTGTCGTTTTTTATTCTCAATATTTTTCTTTCCAACTTTCTTTATTTTTCTTTCTTTTCAACTTTCTTTTTTCTATTTATATTTTTCTTTCTTTTTTCTCTTTATATTCTTCTTTCTTTCTTTCTTTTCATCTCTCTTTTTTCTTTATGTTTATATTTTTATTCATTCTTTCTTTCTGTTTTTCTTTCTTTTTTCTTTCTTCCTTATTTTTATTACTTTTTCGTCTTCTCTTCTCCTATCTTTCTTAATTATCCATATTCTTTCTTTCATTCTTTTCCTTCCTTCTCCCTGTTATATATTTTCACCGATTTGTTTTTTTTTAATTTATTCCCTTCTGTCTTTCTTGATAAATCCTTTCTTTTTTCAGTTTTATTTAATTTAATTTATTTAATTTTCCTTTCTTTCTGTTATTTAATTTCTACTATTCTTTACATGTGTTCTTTTTATTTTAGTCCTTCATTTCATATTTCTCTCTTTCTATATCTATCTATCTATCTATCTATCTATCTATCTATCTATCTATCTATCTATCTATCTATCTATCCCAGTCTGTTCATATCTATCTATCTATCTATCTATCTATCTATCTATCTATCTATCTATCTATCTATGTCTGTCTCTTATTAACTATATATTTGGTTTATTTTACCTGCAAATCTCAATGTATATACAATTATAATCCTATAAAAGATGCACCCACATTTTTCGGCAATAACTCTTCTTTTTGTGCACTGTGCTTTTCTGAGAAACCTATAGAATAAAGAACTAATCTTTTTGTAAGCATCAGAGATACCACGAAAATTTCTATACGAACGAAAGTTGAAGGCTAATATTTAAAAATCTCATTGTCAGCATTAGTGTTTGGCCGCCGAGTCAACAAAATATCATTTATCGCATGAAACTCAATTCTAGAATATTGTTACAGTATTAAAAAACATTCGTCAGTTGATGAGTATAATAGATGTTCTTTATTGGGGTTGTGTTTAATTAACTTTTGGTGGGAGCTGTTATTAAAAAAATAACAGTAAAATGTTAAAACGAACATTTTAATACGATGCATAATTATATACCAAAATATAAAACTGAAAAGAGCCAGATGAAGGATAAAAATAATTACTCATCGTTAAATAGTGTATTGATATAATTGATAACAACAACAAAGAAATAACAGAAAGGGTCTAATTCGTTATCGCTTAACTCTTCAGAGCCAATGGAGGACAACAGATATGTGCACAGCGACTCAAAAGAGCAAGGAAAATTACTACCATGCAATAAGTGTAAATCCCAAACAGGCTACATTTAAGTCCAGCAGACATTCCACCTGTTTATAGAGGTATGGCTGCTCAGACTTTATATATGTACTGAGAATTATCCGATGGTTATCTGAATGCAATTTGCAGCTTATGGTGAAAATATCTGGTGCAAGACGGAGTTGATATCGTAGAAGTGAAAATAAAATATGTATATACCTTAGGGGCACACCTTATCTATCTATCTATCTATCTATCTATCTATCTATCTATTTTAGTAAATATATGACTGCAAAACTTCAGTTTGCGCAATTTCGTATATAAATGATAATATGAAATGATAATGTCTGTGGAGAAGTAAAAATGAATCTGACAATAAAGTGAAAAATTTGCCTGAATCTGTTCATGTCTCTTTAACATTAGTCATCTTGGTAAAGGCATGAGTCCATTTCTCCCTCTCATCTGATTCATCTTAACCATCTTTCTTCGTCTAGTTATTATACAATGCAATGTACATGATCTTTCCCTTTTATCCCCTGTAACGTCCAAGTCGATCTGATGAAATAAAATGATTGGTTGTTAAAAATCCAAGTAAAGGCTTTTATCCGTTTTCCCAAAATAATGATAGACTTGTATTTGAATTGTTTGCTTTGTTGCCTGGATTTTGTTTTGATTGATTGCTTACATGCATCTGCTCTTGGCGAAAGTTTGCTATGTAGTGTTCATTTATTTATACAGCAATTTTATTATCTCGTACTTATTGAATTATATCAATTCGCTACGCAGTTTTCGTAGGAAATAATCCGAGTTAAGAGAAATGCGTTCAGGGCCATAGTAATTTGAGGCAATCTGATCTATTTCTTTACTTTTCTTTTACGTGCCATGTCTTTTAAGATGCAGGCGATTATGGCTCTCCACAAGTTCTTGTCTTCTTACTGTAAATATTCCCTGTGCCTTTAGCAACCATCTTGTTGGTCGATTTTCTGCCATCGTTTACTCAGTTTCGTTCAGTATGTTCTCGCTTTATCTTTTTTTTTTTTTTTGCTTTTATTATACACTTTCTGTGTTTTATTCCCCAATAATTCTTTTTAAATTCTGTGTCGCAGATATTAGCACTCCAATTCTACTTGAGAAATATTTTATCTTGTTTGAACTGTCGATTTCTAGGCTGGAATTTAACGTAATCATTTTTACACCCCATAATCTGTGGTCACTTTTTTTGCTGATTTCATTTAACGTGATTTGTGATGAATGGTCCATGTAGTTACTTCTTTCTTTCCAATTGATGTTTTCATAACCAGTATTTCATTTAATTTTTTCACCATTTTGGCTGCATCTTCTTCTCTATATTCGTTGTGATTTTTTTCTGTAACCGAATTTCTCCCGCCACGTTCATTGATCGAGCGGCCAAAGCTACTTTCGGTTGAAATTTCTAAAATGTGTATATTAAAACAATTTTTCGGAAAATATCGCTCGTTCTACTATTGAATTGGGGCTTTTTTCCTAAGCTTTTTTTTTGATGTACTGTCAAACGTCAACATCTTATGCCATTATCTACTATCGTCCTGGGTGTTACGATAAACTGCATCCGGCAACAAAGCCTCTGATTGGGTGGTTTTGATGGAACTTAACTGTTGTTCCCAAGTTCACCCTGAGCCGCGGTGTAGCTCCTGTTAGGGTTACAGCCATGGCTAAATAGAGAATATCCCCAAACTGGGATCAGAAAATTATGAATGTATAAAAATAGAGATTTTTAATAAGAACACCAGCTATGCATTTCATATTAAAAAGAATTACCGGCAATATATTTTGAAAAAAATTATTAAAGCTCTCAAGTAAATTAAATTTCGGCATTAAATGACCCATAAGGTGCTGATGTTCCATTAAAGAAACCAAACCAAACATTATTTTCTCTTTGAGTGATATCCATTTCAGTTATCGTTGCTGTTGGAAGTCCTCAAGTGATGTATCTGTTATTTGATACATTTCTTTGAGATTCTGTGGCGCCAGTGTACGAGGTTCGTAGAAGGATGTCACTTCTAAGAGCTACAGGTTTCGTTGCTCCAAGCCATTTTTAATCATTAATTTGAGAATGCGGTTGTATACAGCTGCGATTGTAGATACTTCTGAACGAGTTTGAGGGTATGCATGACATCTATGTTACAGTCACGACAAATGCTTTTTTCAAGAGAAGAAATCTCTCTTCAGTCGGAAAACTAGCGAAACATCATCCAAGCCGTCTGTTTAACTCCATCTTCGATGGAGTTAAGATTTTGTATCTAAATTTATGAAAATAGATTTTGTTACTATTATACATTGACCTTTGGAATTAGAGAAGGTCCTCTGGTTACATCGGAGCCGACGTACGGTGTTTCCTGGTTACGGCGCCATCTGCCATCATATAATACGTCGTCACGCGGCGCTGTATGATGAAGACGGCGTTGTTCCTTCGTCGGCTGGACGCCATATTGGATTGCGCAACATTCGCTCTCTCTCGTTTGTGCCGTTTTGTGGGGACACTTTTTGCCCTTTATTATGGCTCCCGAGCGTAAGGCAAACTCGTGGGTACTGTAGTTGCCCCCTCTTTATCCGGTGTCTCATTTTTTGAGGAATATTTTCTTCATATAGAAGAACTGATTATTTCGGGTCGTGAAATGTGTAAACACAGCAGAAGTTTTCCATGAACATTTTCATACGACCAAAAAAGACAGAAATTATTTTCATTATTTACACGCAGGCAATTGTTCTCATATTTGTGGTTGCTATCACAATATTTAGGACGTTACTTTTCAGGCCTTCTTCAGGAGTCGTCGCTTAGAACAAACTTCAGGAAATTTATAATTAAATACATTATTTAATCTAAGCATTAGATAGTTCCTCTTACTAAGACCAAGTGAAGGGATATCTCATCTAGTTCATATTTAGTAATGTGAAAGAACAATAAAAGACTAAATTTCAGGAATTGGTTTGGTTTGGTTTGGTTTGGTTTACGGTATATAAACCTCAATGGGTTATTTAATGCCGACAAAATTTTCAATGTTGGCAATATTTTTTTTCCAAAAATCTATTTCTGGAAATATCTTTTCCTTCAAAAATCTATTTCTTGTAAGAATTTTTCCTTCGCTTGTAATATTCTTTTACTTTTTTTTTTAAAAAAAAAAATGTATTGCTAATAATATTTGTTTTTCAAAAATGTATTACTGGTAATAGTTTTTTGCAAAGTATTTCTGATATAAAACCCTATTTTTACAATTTTATAGACCCGAGTTTGGGTGTTAACTATTTGTCCATAGCTGGGACCCTAACAGGTGCTATCAACCCGGGTCAGGGTGGACCTGGGAACATCAGCAATTAAGAGGTGGTTCCACGCTCCTTAAACCCCCCTGATCATAGACCTTGCTGTTGGACGTAGTTTATCGTCTTACCCAGGACGTGGATGTAGTTTATCGTCCAAGTTCAGTAAGACATAATATGGTGATTACGTTGCACTTAAATTTTTGAAGATTGTAGGAGGCGGGGAAACATTAATTAGGGAGGCAAATTCACAGGAGATAAGTGTAAAAATAGAAACTATTAGAATAGTACATACGGTCGCATCTAACTAGTTCAACAGTAAAACGGTGAGACCTACTTAGCAATCGAGTAGAACATTTAAACACACGCAGTCGAGGCACCAAGAAATAAACCCCATCAGTACAATTGCTATGAAAATATTTGTAGAAAAGTCAGAAGGAAACCAGTCACGTCGGCGAAGAAATAAGGAGAGTCCAGGTCAGGATAGATTCTTTGAAATTTGTTAACAATCCTGAGAAAAAAATAAGGAGTACCGGACCGGATATAGTGGCAATATTCACGACAGATTTATAAATGGGTAGGATGGATTCTGACTAGAACAAAGATCTGAATTGATACAGTGAAACATCTTTCCTAACAGTAGATCTCATAATACTCTCAAAGCGACAAGTCAATAACATAAGGAATTACAGTTTTGTTTCTTGAATTTGGGGTTTCGTTCATGTAGTCTTACATAAGTTAAACTTGTAGTTCCTTGGTGATTGTGATATATGTCCGTTTTCCTCAGATGCTGACAGTTTATTTTTTATTTATAAATCATAAGGCAGCCTTATGAAAAATAGATTTCAAAGGCAAGAATCCTAGTTTGAACAGAGTGGTATACTTGTAAAATCTGCCATGTCTACATGGAATCTTTTTATATATTCATATTTTTCAATCTTTTTTTGATATATTTGCCGATTCCAGTAGTTTGCAATCTATCGATCTAAGTCTGTTCGCATATATCTTATCCTATCCATAATTAATTATTTCTATATTTAAATATGCGTCTATCTTCATAAATAATTAGCAATGAGAATATAAATCAGTCTCTTGAAAAACACGTATTGTATCTAGTTATATACTTTGAGATGTATATTATATCTTTAATATTGAAGACCAGACACATATATCATACATCGTCCACTTCGTACATATACACTATCTCACATACGCATATATAACTAGAGGTAGACCAGCACATACGCACACACATACACATACACACACGCACACATATATATAAACACACACACATATATGTACACATATATGTTCTTATATATATTTAAAAATGTATATACATATGCATATATAATCTGACATATTCATGATACAACAGACATATATAAAGACAGTCATATATGTGAATAATGTCCCCTGTTTGTCTTGTTTGATACAAGGATGAACTGAGTTTAAGGGGATGGTAATATTGTGCTAAAGAAATCTTAGAAAACACAAGGGCTTCAAGACATCATTTTACCCTCAAAGATATGCACTTGCATATATATATATATATATATATATATATATATATATATATATATGTAAATAAAAAGAAAGAACAGTAAGATATAAAATCCGGTGTTCTTATATATATTTTTATTTTTACAAAATAGTGCTCAACGTAAATTTACAGAGCATTAATATTATAAATTAATTGATTTAAAATATTTTTTTTCGCTACACAGTTCCAACCATGTTTCAAAAATAGAAGCTAAAAAACCTCGAATTTAATTTTGCAATTAAATTAAAAGCATTAGTTCCATTCGCTTGAAGATGAAATGGAACTAATGATTTTAATTTAATTGCAAAATTAAATTCGGGGTTTTTAGCTTTTATTTTTGAAACATGGTTGAAAAAAACTCATATTTTAAATCAATTAATTTATAATATATATATATATATATATATATATATATATATATATATATATATATATATATATATATATGTGTGTGTGTGTTTGTGTGTGTGTGTGTGTGTGTGTGTGTGTGTGTAAAATTATTATTTTCAGACAGAGTGTAAATGTGAAGGAACAAAATGAATAGGAGACAAGAGGAAAAATATTCTTAGTCGACGCTTTGCTTCCTTTTCTACAGTTGACTTGACAAAAAGACGCTCAGAGGCCGAATAGTTTTCTTCTTGTCTTTATATATATATATATATATATATATATATATATATATATATATATATGTATATATAATTATATATATATGTATCTGTATTAAATAATGCAACAATTAATATTGTTAAATATTTATTCAAAGAATAAATCAATGAAGTTAATGTAATTAATGGCGAACTCACTTCGCTAACAGATTAAGAAGGCATTAACTCACTGACAACTCGCTGACCGACACGATCCTTGTTTTTATTAATTGTACAATGGATTAGATGTTCGGTCCATATTGCTTGCAAGTACTTTCGGTAAAAACATTTACCATCCTCAAGCACGGATGTTATTTTTCTTTCTCAATTTCAGGTAATTTCGGTTAAAATTCCAAGACCAAAATGAATGTGATACATGTCGAAAGATATTTTATTAAAAAATATGTACTATTATTAGCAGTTAACAATTTTTTTGAAAGTGCAGTAATGTGACGCCATATTTTTAAATATTGTAGTAATCTAGTAATTCAACATTTCTATTATTGTAATTTTTTTTTCAGTGAGTTAATGTCTTCTTAAGCATGAAACAGACTGTCTCATGCGGGTTTACATTCTATGTCTACTTTCATATTTACATACCCTCTATCTCTGATATGGAGAAATATAACCTACTTTAAAACCTTATTTGTATAAAACACATTGTATCAAACGACGGTTTCTCCTGCAAGGAGGAGTAGGTTCGAATAATGCCGTGGGGCGCATTTTTATTTAGTAAGATGTCTCGAATATTCAATCTTGTAGCCGAAATAATGTATCGTTTAAAATATCCCGAGCGTCTGTTTAAATATGAGTCTCCACAAAAAGAAACATTTGAAGGAATTTTTAAAGTTTCACTTTACATAGATACATAGATACATATATATATATATATATATATATATATATATATATATATATATAAACACATAAATTCTAATGAGTCAGATACGACCTACCATAGGTTTCACCACATGGGATTATCAGCGTGAACAGGCTTAGGAGGAATTAACAAGGAATAAGTTTATTAAAAAAAACCTAAAATTCATATAAGCCTAAAAAGCTAATTTTAGGTTTTAGCCGTGATTTTATCAACAAATTTGTTCCTTGTTAATTTCCCCTGGGTCAGTTAGTACCTGGCACATTAGGATTTATTTATTTTACTTTTGCTCTGCTTAGTGTATTGAGCACTCTTGGTTTTAACTTATTACTCGGTGCTTTTTTTTACTTTTTACCTGAGATTTAATGTACTGGACATTTTCTTTCGCCCTGTTCGGAGGTTTCTGGCTCTTTTTTTTCCGAATTTTTCCTAGTATCCCAATTTGTCTGGAAATTGTGCTATCAGGTTATTTTCACCCACCGTGTTTAAGTAGATTTACATATATATATATATATATATATATATATATATATATATATATATATATATATATATATATAGACAGAGGGGCTAAATCCCATAATGACTTGTGACTTACTAGAACAAGCATCGACAGGTTCGTACAGTTCCGTTTCCCTTGTATATATATATATATATATATATATATATATATATATGATGTTAAAGTTTGCTACATTGTTATGGCAAGAGTGCTATAATATCGGTAATAGATCATTTATAGATATCTACAATGTGGATATAGTATCAACACTGCATGCTGACTCAGTTTCACTCCTCAATACGATCATCATGTCTCTCTGTATATCTGTTTATCAATCATATATATATATATATATATATATATATATATATATATATATATATATATATAGTATTGTAATATTTTTTGTTTATAAATATGATTCCTTCGCTACATAAGAGTTCTCATGTTTCAAAAACGAGAGCCGAAACCATCCAAATAATTATTAAAATTAAGTTGAATTGAGGTGTTTAGTCCCGTATCATTTTCAAGCGAAATTTTAGGAATAAGCTATCTCTTGGTTTACGTGTATTTTTAGGCATGGTCCGTTATAACATTCGTTATTGGGGGAGTGGCTAGGCTAGTTTTCTTCGTTAAGTGGTCAGAGAGTTAATTCTTATCTATAGATTCATCATTTTCTGAGAGGTTTTGCTAAGGTTGGGTAGGGTATCTATTTCAAGGCTAATGTTGGCGGTCATCCTTTAGTTGGTTTCCAGTGAGGGATATTTTTATGGCGCGCCTGCAAGTCGTTATGTGTCGGGAGGATTTTGTTTTATTATTGTCCATCTGATTATCTCTTTATTTATTTGTTTATTCAAGTGGGTGTTTTATATACAAACCTTATTGCACTGAATTTCAATTTGTTTTTTGACGATTACAGAAAGGGTTTTTCCTATTTAATGATTTGGCTAAGCTTTTAGGACTTTTATTAAACTATGGGATTTTTTTATGCTAATTATTTACTGCGAAAATTTGTTGATGTCGGCAAAAACCGTTAACTCTTGCCTATGGTTTAATAATTTTGAAACTTAATGATGTGTAGTTTTTCGTGTAGGCATAATGGGTATGGGTCATCCCATGTTTTACAAGTTCTTGTTCTATTTACTATTTTCCATTTTAATTTTGGTGTTTTATTCGTTTCTTTTAGATGCCAGAAATATTGGGATAGAGATGTCTGATTTCTATTTTGAATATTGTTGAAGGAGCTCTTGTGTTGCCTCCATCTAATTTTAAAATTATTCTTCGTTGACCCTATGTATATCCTATCAGTGTTGGGACTCTCAGTGGATGAGATAGTGCATTGGTATACCACGGATTTAGTGAGGCATTTATTTTCCAACGGGCAGTCTTTAGGGTTTCTACAATCACATAATTTTTCGTTATTTTTATCTAATTTTAGTTTATGAGTTTTATTTCTGTTTTGGCATGCGTGTTTTTCTAGGATTTTCTTATCTCTTTTTATGATTCTTTCTAGATTTTCAGTGCAGCTGTAACTCAATTTTAAGATGTTATTGTTAACGATCTCGCTAAGTTTGCTATTGTGGGAAAGTGCTTTTCAATTAAAGCTAGGAACTTATGGCCTAGTTTGGTGCTGACCATTTGGTTGTACGGAGGGGTATACCAGATGATCTTTCTTTTCCTGTTTTTCTTATTATTGGTACTATCGTCTCTATAGGTGATGCCAGCGTTTTTGTATCCGCTATTTTTCAGGGCTGTGTTATAAAAACTACTGTGTTGTCGGAATATTTCCTTATTTGCTGAGTTCATACTGATTCTTTGCTCTATTGATGTGGGTATATGCTTAATTATAGATAGAGGATGGTTTTCTGTAAGGTAGGTGAACGTTGTTCACCTAACTTAAAGAAAACCTAATACTAATCGCCTGTATGTACACCCTAAGTCAAACCATTGGAAAATAAACACAAACACACACACACACACACACACACACACACACACACACACACACACACACATATATATATATATATATATATCCATCAATATTGTTATTCATCTAAAGACGTTTTTTTCAAGTAGAAACGCATCCCTATTCAATTTTGTATCTTGGCAGTGATTTGTCCCTTATTATATATATAATTTAAAGAGTTATAGCACATTTCTCTCATCTTTTAATATCAATACACGGAAAGTTATTCGTGAGTTTAAACGGATATTGTTAACATTTAGCAGATATGTATGTAATCTATTCAATCAGACATTTGCTGCCTGAATACACACACACAGACACACACACACATGCACACACACATACATATATTCGCAAAAGCACACACGCGCGCACACACACACACACACACACACACACACACACATATATATATATATATATATATATATATATATATGTATGTATGTATTATATAAAAGCGAGTGCTGAAAAATTCTCCCCAAAAGAAATATCTAAGATTTTTTGTTGTTCTGGCTGGCCACTTCTGCAGCACCCACTTATATATATATATATATATATATATATATATATATATATATATATGAATTATGAAATAGCGATTTGACAATATTCCTACAAGATTAAATTTTCTTTACCTCCTCTGCCATCTTTCCATAAGTGAGTCCCAAATGAAGATATGGCATTTTTCATGTTTGATCCAAATTGAAGGTTCTTCTGAACAACTCTGGCAAAAAGATACCCCAATAGGGAATAAAAAGGGATCGGACACTGAACAATAGGAACACATGTCTAGAAAAGGAAGGGCGCATAAATTGGGATTTGAGTCAAACCAGACGACAGACTGTGATGGAGCACGAAATATTTGGCGGTGATAAATGCACCAATAGCGCTAACGTTTCATTTTCTCGCTACGGAGGAGAGAGCAGAGAATTACTGGGTTGGAGTGATATTAATACTCAACCAGTGCGTAATATTCATTGCTACTTGTGGCCTTTTGCAAAGGGCACAGAGAATATCGCTAACGAGTGCACGAATAATGCTATAATATTCTGTGTTTCAATAGAAAGCATAACGGCAGTATATATTTACCACAGAGCGTTGCAAAGTTCGAGGCACGACTAAGAGCACGTTACATTCCGAAATATTTTGGCAAATGGATAGAACTAAAATTTTTCTTTAGTCTTTCTATACATGTGATAATATCTATCTATCTATCTATCTATCTATCTATCTATCTATCTATCTATCTCAGTCTGTTCATATCTATCTATCTATCTCAGTTTGTTCCTATCTATCTATCTATCTATCTCATGTAATATTGGTTCTTTATTAGGCACCTGCACGATTTTTTGGAAGACTGATTCGTAATTGTACAGAGTTCGTTCCTTTTCTTTCTATGTGATGTGTCCCTTCAGGACCTAGGCGTCCATGGCTCTCTTCAACTTCCTATACTTTGTAACTCTCAGTAATGTTTAACTTTTTATCCTCCCTCGTATAATCTGTTTTGCGCTCCATTAACAAAAGTCCTATGTGCTGTTTCCGTTGTCCATTTTGGCTTCGTTCATGATATTCCTAGTATTTGTTTGTAGTAACAAAAGTCTACTCTTCCTCCATCATGAAATTGTACAGCATTCATGCCATATAGAAAGAATGAGATTACATAGAGATTCGACACTTCTTTCTTTTTAATCCATAACATTTTCTTAATACTTTGCTTAGTTTCGAACGCATCTTTTGACCTTCCAATTTGCCTTCGAGTTTCAATGTTACACTTGCAATACTACATTAAATCATTTCTCAGTTATTTAATTATTTACTTGTTTGGTATCTCCCTTTCATAGTTCGTGTCTTGAATGTTTTTCTTGCTGACAAACTTACATTCTGCCTTTATAATTGATAGCTAGTTTTTCCTTCTCGCTTTCCATTCTTTTTTTCTAAGAGGCCTTGTAGTTTTTCCTCTGTGTCTGTCAACAAAACAGTATTTTCATCGCACTTTATACTGGTAAGATTTTTCCCAACCGTATCTGTCTATATTTATGAGATGAGGTATTATGTACGTTATTTGCATTATTCGGACTATTGTCCTCATCTTCGTCGCCATATTTATTACAACGTTTCGGCCGTTTTACGCTCCGACCTTCTTCAGGTGGTTGGAACTGGATCTAACTAACGCCTTTATCCACTGTGTCATGTGTCCTTGAAGGCATCTGTATATGAATTTCTGTGTATTATAAACCTAATGTCTTCCGCAACCATTTTTTTGCCAGTGCTCATATTGCAATTTTGCTGCTATCATTGCATGTTTTTTTTTACCATATTGCAATTTTTTTGTTATTATCGCTTTTCTCTGGCACCCCTTATTGCTGGTTCCCATATTGTATTCATTTCTATGCTTGGTTACGTAATCCTTAAGGTTACGAATTTTCCAATGATGTTCTTTGTCTATGAACTCAACTTGATCCCGCAGAGGGCGGTGATCTCCCTTTTCTGTTCATATGGGGTCAGCCACGCCAGATTTTTTTTTTTACTTCCCTTCGTGTTACAGATTTCTGGTGTTCTTGAAGCCTTAACTTAAGGGAGCGGCCTGTCTCCCCTTTATATTTCTTTCCGCAGTTAGTTAGATCTAGTGACAGGACCGAAATAGTGTGAGTTCAATACGCGGTTAAGTCAGTGGAGAATTTTTAGAGGGGAATTAACAGGAGATAATTGATAACTGGCATCCATTAGACATGGCACGTGGAACGAGAACAGTCTAACCCAGTGAGCGAAATAAAGGCTCAGTTCGAGATTCCAACCAAGAAGGCCGGAGCGTACAACAGCCGATACGTTGTAATAAATATGGCGATAAAGATGAGGACAATAGTCCGAATAATGTAAATAGTGTTTTCCCAACCGATAATAAATTGTAGTAGGGTCTCCATCTCTCTTTTAAAGTGAGAGAATAAATCAGATGAAAATGTACGTCTTTTGTCTTAGACCCCTTTTCTATTTTTTCTTCTGTCTTCTGAATTCATTTTCTATCCGTATACAAGTTGTTTTTTTCCCATGATTATTCAGCCTCCTTAACAAATAGATCCAATTTTACTGGCAGTTTATTTAGATTATTGTATCGTACCTTATCAAATGCTTATGTGGAATCTATGAAACATAAGTAACATTTGTTGTTTAGTAAAGAAGACTGTAAAAGTGAATTTCTATATGAGATCAGAAAGGGCAATACAAATACAAAAGTATATACACTTACATCTTAGTCTATCGCTCTGTCATTATCCCTGAACATACCGAATCTGTTTATATATTTTAGATACAGATGTATGTAAACTCAATGAATATATGTAAATATATACATTTTTAGTGGGCGTCTACAGTAGCTTGTGAAATATAATTCTTGTGTAACGAGTAACATTCTCACTATTGTGGGTTGTGCCTGAGAAATATGTAAATATCTATATACATGTGCATCTGCACCAAATGTATTCGTGCGTGTGTATATGTATATACTCATATATTAGTATATAAGAATCTCTATTTGATATTGTTGTGGCCTTGTTAGGGCCAGAAATAAAGAAACAAAGAGAGAAATTGAGTTAAACAAATATATTAACAGAAACAGTAATACAAGCATATACAAATGAGAGTGTTGCAGCAAGAATGTTCGATCCGACTGTCAGAGCTCACTGTTGGAAACTTTCCTCTCCAAAAGCCACCTGCTCCTATTTATAGCTGGGGAGTCCATGTGTCCGCTGATAAATTGCAATATATATATATATATATATATATATATATATATATATATATATATATATATATATATAATTATTTATTTAAAAAAATTATAACATAAACATGTTATAAAATCACTACTAAAAAATACCCATTTTGTTTCAACACTCTCGATGTCTTATCAAGTGATGATGTTGAATGCAAAACAAATGGTTTTAAAAGTTTCAAATTCGTTAACGATCTTTCTAAGGAAAAAACGTTGTTCCAAAAGCTAGAATGACCAATCAAAATACAAGTATAGGAAAATTCAAAAAGCCTGACAACAAAGTCATGTTATAATAGGTATTCAGATTTTAAAATACGGGTAATATTAAAAAAAGTATTTATTCTAACCAATAATTATTAAATTATATGATAAAATTTGATATTAAAATTAAAAACTGCCAATTTTAAAATCCAAATTTAATTACTATTAAGTTTAAATTATAAAATTAACTTGTATATATATATATATATATATATATATATATATATATATATATATATATATATATATATATATATATATGTGTGTGTGTGAATTTTTATATACTTAGGCTAGTTGCTGTAACGCCTGCATAGTTAGTATGGAGACTGACTGGTATCTGCTCACTGATGGTAGATATGAGAAAAGGTCAGGATTATTGAGAGAAACCGAAGCGCTTCCAGCCAGGCGAATGATCAAAATTTACCCAGCCACCGTGAAAGCAGGCTCGGGTACATTATTTGAATGTATTTCTCAGACGATTCTCTAGACGTCTGAGTCACCCTCTGCCCGAAGACAAAGGTCTTGTCACGTTCTCTCAGAAGAACCTTGGATGCGACTAGTATTTACCGGTCACCCCGATGCAAACGAGATGTAACACAAGGTCAAGTTTTATGTGGAAAACCCGTACGTTTCCACACGGGCCACTGGTCAATATTTATCCCGCCACCGCGGGCTCCGGTATATTGTCTTTTTTTTCTCAGCCGAGTCTCTATCCGAAGACCGAGCCTCAACTGAATCTTCTTCCACCTGAAGAATGACGTCTTTCGTCACAATCTGACCTCGCATGGGATTGAGTAAGTACAAATTACTATAAAGTAGTTTGTAACGCACTATTTATCTTCTCTTTGCCCGCGTCACGGTCGAAACTGTCTGTTTTCTCTTACCTCGGGCCTTCTCATCTTTGCAAATAAATCCAACATGAGTTACAAAAACCGAAAGATTTACCCTAAACCAGCATCTCAGAAACCACCTAAACCCCATAACATTTCATTCTCCAACATCCGGGGCATTAGAACAAACTTCTACAGTCTGGAATCTTTTCCTCACTGCAAACGGCCCGGATGTACTGGTTTCTCTGCGAGACAAACCTTGTCTCATCTATCCCCTCTTCTGATCTCTCGATCCCTGGCTATCTTCCTCTCCTCAGAAAAAGACTCTCTAACCCACATGCACGGTCTTGGTGTCTACGTCAAGGAACATCTCCCCTGGCCAGAGAGTCCTCTCTTGAATCGCCTGACCAGTCATACATGTGTCTCCGTCTCTCTCTCCTCAATGCGGTAAGCTATCTCTTCTTCCTTTACCGCTCTCCATCCTCTCAAGACTGAGATACTTGATAGCATTTCTGACAACATAGACAAGGCTCTCTCCCTCCACCCGTTTGCTCACATTTTTGTGTTTGGAGACTTTAACGCTCATCACACTCTGTGGCTTAAGAATGCTACTACTGACCATGCAGGCATTCAAACGCTTAATTTTTCAATCTCCCATTCCCTCACACAGATAGTTAACTTCCCCCACTCGTTTTGCCCTCAACCGGGCAAGTAAAGCCTCTCTACTCGACCTGTGCTTTACCTCCATCCCCGAATCCTGCAGCGCCTCGCAACTATGCCCACTTGGTAACTCTGACCATGCAGTAGTATCGGTTAACATCTCCTTTAACTCCATCCCCTATAAAGAACCTCCTACCACTAGAACTTCGTTCTATTATCAACGAGCTGACTGGGACGCGTTCCGTGATTTCCTCCGCGATGTCCCCTGGGATGGAGTCTTTAAGCTCCCCGTCCAAGAATGTGCTTCTGAGGTCTCTTCCTGGGTTAAAGCTGGAATCGACACTTTCATCCCATCATGGAAATATAGGGTTAAGTCGCGCTCCTGCCCCTGGTTTTCGGCTGCTTGCTCAGCCGCCATCGCCCATAGGAACCACTACTTCCACCTATACCGTAGCGACATGTCTGACTGCAATAGGCGTCTCTTTGCCGCCGCCCGTAACGATTGCAAGCGTATCCTAAATGATGCTAAGTCACTATTTGCGGTTCGAATGAAGGAACGTATTGCATCTCGCAAATTTGGCTCCAAAGATTATTGGAGTCTCTGCAAGAGTGTATTGAATAATTGCAAACCCTCTATACCTCCCCTATTCAACCAGTTCGAAGTCTTGACCTCCTCTACCGACAAGGCTGAATGCTTTGCTCGGAAATTTTCATCCAACTCGACGCTCGACTCTTCTGGTGTACCCATACCGACTTCCCCTCTTAGAACTGAGGCCATATTGAGTGGGTTAAACAT